GAACGTCGCGCTCTCCCCAGGCCCCTGTATGCCACGACGTTGGATTTTAAGACGCCGTCCTCAAATCTTAAGGTCCCTATTGTTTTGCGTCGCTGGCATTACATGGTATATTGATCGATCAAGGAGGAAATGATCCACTCAAGATAAGACAAAAAAAAAATCACTTCGAAAAAGTACATATTCTAGAACATTTTCAAAAATAATTATAAAACAGCATTTACAATGATTACCCGCCCGTGTTCGGTATTGTCTTATAAATATCTTTAAAACAGTATTCAAATACAGCTTTTTAATTTCCTTTCTCAATATCAGTTTCGACATAAGTGTTTGTAGACGTAATTCATTGCATATTTGCTCTCACTTTTCAGCACCATTCAAGAGTGTTGTAAAAGTGTAGCGCTCGTATTTGACTTCATTTTTGACTAGTATCAAAGGTATGGTCACAGCCACTACACTTTTGACTTCATCTTTGACGTGCGTCAAAGGTAAAGTCAAAGTTACCAGCATATTTGACAACGACTTTGATAAGGGTTAAAGGAATAGCAAAGCATTGATTCATTTGACTTCATCTTTGACGCGCGTCAAAGGAGAAGTCAAAGTTGTTAACAATTTGACTACACCTTTACCGAGGTCAAAGGAGTAAGCAAAGAGCTTATATATTTGGCGACATCTTTGACGCGCGTCAAAGGTGAAGTCAAAGCCAATACCATATTTGACTTAACTTTTGACTCGTGTCAAAAGTGCAGTAAATCCAATTTTTCGTCCCGTGGTACAGTGGGGTTCGAGTGACATAAAATTTATTTTACCTTTAAAGGCTTCTCTACAATTACACTAAATCGCATTCAAGGTAAAGGAAGAAGTAAAGGAAGGTCATGTAAAACCTTCATGTGTTCTTACCATTCTCGTCGACATCGTTGTAGTCATAACCGAACTCGAAAGACTTCTTAAAAATCTGTTGATGAGTATACACAGGACAAATTGGTACAATGACGTCATCTTTGTTGTGTCCGATGGGTGAATTGTAGATTGAAAGAACCTAAGCGTTCTTGTTGAACTTGCGAAGCCATTTCTCATAAATACGATCCACAAAGAAATGATGAAGAGGAAAGATTGGGTCGTTTCACGCAGAAGATACTTCCCCCATGACTCCATCCAAGACTATGTGAACCTGGTTCTATCAAAAGGTGTGGACATTTGGCAAACTATAAGCGGTCTTTGTGCTGGTGTAGCCTTTTAGGATACTTTTAGAATTGCAGCTTGACTCTTTGCCATAGGGTGGCAGGTCAAAAGTTTCAAACCGGAGAGCAAATTAATGTTGACTTCTTCTTTGGTTGGAAATGTATTTGTATATCTCTGTTTTCTTACTTTTTCTTCCTTTTCCTTCTCAATGCATGATCTCTTCCAAAACAGGTTTCTTGTTCGTTGCGTGGTCACACATATTTGTCGGGAAATGGGTTTGTTCACTGGTGCTGACGTACCAGTTGTCAAAGTATTCGCCCTTCACAGCTTGGTTCGTTACACTTGGAAGCTCTTCAGAACAAATAGCTGGCTCACATTGTGTTTCATACTTTCCCAATAAGGGATAGCAAATAAGTTTTCATCGTTACCGACTCCTGCAAGGTTCAGTCCCAAGTCAACATGTACAGTCGATACCATTATTTATCAGAAACAGGTCCGAATGTTTTTTAAAGCTCACTCCTTATAGGCATTTGAACAACCACTAATTATTTTCAGAAACAGGTCTGAATCGAAACACTTGGGACCATATTTACAAATGACAAACACGGTTTCAGACGCTGTCAAAAGTTATTTTCTCATTAGCATTAGGTTGGATTGATGTGAGATACAGTACAAGAAGAAGTACAAGTACACGCTGCCGTAATATGCTTAACATCGTTTAGTTGGTTCTGTCAGTAAAAACTCTTTGCAATCTTCAGCGCCCTTCGAATTTGTCGACACATGCGCTCTCCACATCAAGCTAAACCAAGCGACATTCATTTGAAAAAACTCGAGTTAAAATGTACCAGTTTTGTCTCTTAACAATTAATTACAAGTCTTTTAATTAACTGCAGACTCGCAGTGTTTTAGTCTCTGAAGACTGAAGACTACCGGTAGCTTTTTTCCTCACCGTAATATTTCTACCTTCAAACTTAATCCACTGTAGGACCACACGATTCTTAGAAACGTGTAAACTTCCGCATTGTCTTCGGGATTTCCTTAACAGACAAAGGCTACGTATTTTGCATACGCTGGAGATAGGCTAGACTGTTTCAAAACAACTTCTTAGTTTGCCAAGATCAATGTATTACTTTTAACTACGTTCAGAAATTGTACAAGGTAATTTTTTTCTGTCTTGATGAAATGAGAAATAAAAACACGTTGGGCAAAACCACACTTCGGCTTTTACCTACTAACAATATGCCGAGTCTTGACAAAGTAAGAGAAAAAAAACAACGCACAACGGCCATCAAAAGATTGAACCTTAGGCAAAAGTAAGAATCTAACAGAAAGCACTGTCGAGTTTACAAAACTGCGTTCATGTTTACATTCATAACCGTCATGATCGTTCTTTTCGAGCACTGCTTTCTGTGTATCGGCAGATGTCTTACAAACATTTACACTAATTCAGGCTATACGTGTATATGATTCATGTCAGTGGAGTATAACTGGCATCGAATTTGCACACAATATTCTCACGTATAAAACTCTTTTTCGTGATTTTTCATACTCTCGAAGGCCTTGAAGGGAAGCATTTCACTCTAATGATTCCAAGAGCCAAAACAGGGTAACATACTTCTTTTTAAATAAAACTTGACCCTTTTCGTCAAATCTAAAACCATACTGCATTGTTTTGAACAAACAAGATTAAATTTACCTTTGTCTTTTTAAACTGCACTGTGCACGTGGTTGGATTGAAGCGTCTATGCTCCTCGCTCTAGGTCCACTTCAAACTGAATGCTCTGATTTAACTCCAAGTGCTGAGATATAAGAGAGTCAGCTTACTCACATCCTTCAATTTCCAAGAAATGCATGGCGACTAACAATGCGTGTTCGATGTGTTTAGCAGTTGTGCGGAGCTGTATACGATGATCTCTACGATGTCATTCCTATCAGAATTACTGGCGTAAATAAATGCATTGTGGTCTCGAGACAAGACACTCCCTCATCATAACAGTCTCAGCAAGAGACAAATCGCCTCTACCTCGACTTCAAAAGCTGCTATAGTTGTACATTTATTGAATGTCCTGTAAGACTTGCAAAAAGCAAGATAATCTACTCGTTTCTTTTAAAATATTTTCTACTTTACGTGTACGACCTATACTTACTGTATACTTAATACGTAATTTGGGTAAAATCCTATTCTATAAGTCGACTTACCCGTTGAATAGAAAACTCTAATAGTACATCAAATATAAGCGACACATCTACTCGTTTCTTTCATTAATATTGTCTATTCTTCGTGGATGACTTACTTTATAAGTAAGTAACATCTGAATTGATGTGTCATTGATTTTTCAAATAACCCATTGCCGCATAGGAAACTCTAACTGATCACAATTGCTTACTATAACAAGCAGATTTAATCTTAAATGCTCAAACGTTTCATAAGACATCATATACTTGTGTCTTCATTCAATATTGTATATTTAACATGGCCTATTTCATTTGTATGACCTACTCATAAGCAGGTGACCTACTCAGCTACAGGCGGATTCAGTGGTATATCCTAATTGACTTTTTATAAGCGATATATCCACGAGTATCTTTAGTCAATTCAGTCGGCTATGTTTTTTTTTTTCACGCCTATATTGATCTAAAACCTCCTTCATAAGTATGCAACATAGGAATTAAGGAACGAATCCCCCTTTATGAGTAAGTCACCTATTGCCAGTATAGGAAACTCTACATACAATTGTCAGCCGTTAATTCTAATATACTATTGGACGTATTTCGTTGTATGTCCTAAAACTTATCACAAGCGACATATCTTCTGGTACCAAGTTAGTCTATTTTACGTCTACAACCTACTTCATAAGTAAGTAACATTGGAATTAAAGTAAACCCTGTTTTACGAGTAAGTTACCTAAAGCTGGCGTAGGGAACTCAAATATAAATCTCGTCTTTGCGTCTACCGTAACTGCTGGCTACTGCACGTATTTAATTGTATATTCTACATTCTACAACTTGTAATAAGCGCCATATAAACAGCCTGCGCCACAGACTGACCTAAATCCTCTGGTTACGTTCGTCTGCAAAACAGCGCTGAAACCCTTGTTCAGGGCCCCCACCTGTGTACCAGGATTTGAGCACGCGCTATGATTGGCCAGTAACCTAGTGAAAAAAGCCATTGCTAATTTGTCAATCAAATGGAAGAGAAAATCGAAACGCATTTCCGGTGACTGATTCGTTCAGTTCGTTGAGGGCTCAGAACAAGGCTGTTGCTACTAAATTATAAACCGGGTTAAAGCTCCTGTCTTCAATTTATATTGCGGTCTACTTCGTGTGTATCACCTTCATAAGAAAGTAATATCGGAATAAATGTAAATATATATTTTCTAAGTAACGTATTGCATATGTAAAAATAAAGCTATTATTTTTCATTTTTGTTACTCTAACGACCATACAGACACTTAATTCATATCAGAGAATCCAGCCATACTAAATCGTCAAGCAGAGACTGCTGCTATTTTTACCAGTAAATGTCCAATCAGGGCTTTCTCTGCCAGTGACCGGTAGTGCCTGGCGCCTAAATCTTGCCCTTGGGCATAAAGGAAGTTTTTTTTTTTTCAAATAAATCAAATCATGGGCGCCCTGGATTTCACAATCTTCCCAGGTTCAGAGCGCCGGCTTTCTTCAGTTTACAGAGCACAGACATTCAGATAGTGGGGAAGGCGCAAAGAAAAGCGGGCGCCACTCTCCACGATCTGAACGACTGGAACATCCTAAGGGCACACATAACCAGGAATTATTAATGATATAGTGTAGCGTTGGTTCTACAATTAAGATGATACACTGGCATCTTTCAGTTCATCGATTATTCCCTGCATGGTTTGTCTCGTCCCAGGCTCTCTCTGCAGGCATCGCCGTACCAGGCCGCGAAACACAGAGTTCGTTACAAGCACGACTTGTTCTTCTCGCCTTGTAGGATCTGGCAGTTCCCGGATGCACATTTCACAGAGAAGAGCACCAAAGCTGTAGACATCAACCTAAGAAAAACAATCATAATACATGACTTTATGCCAGAATATTCTTTATTTAGATTACTTATTAGTGGTATACTGATTACGAAAAGAGTTGAAGTAACACCAGAGGGAGAATCTCGAGAACGCAAACGAAATATATGTTTATCAAGATTGATAAATGAATAAGAAAAGCCTAGAAATCAGAAGATCCTTAAAAGGCCTCATGGTAAGTTCTTGGCTTAAATGTTTTGTTTCTAAAAATACTAACTTTTGTCTTGTCTTTTGTCTAACTGTTGTCTTTAGAGAAAAGAAGGGATAATTTAACAAATCCAGTTACGTGGACCAAATCCATGGAGAAAAACATAAGAGTGGAAAAAGTGCTGAACAAGGTGCAAAGACTCCTGACAAAGATATGGTCATTTTTAATTCAAGAATGTTGAAGTGTTTGTGGAGTGGACAAGAGGGCGAGTTTGAGGGAAAGTACAAGGGTCACTTTCACTTCTGCCACTGTTAGCCTTGCTGTACAGTTTTAGTAAGTAAAAAGTCTTGAATGTTCCCTTAAACTAACCTTGACTGTTTGGTTTGATGTAAGTGCTTCAGGTGCGCTATAAATCATAGCTCCAGGAACTACTGTCATGGTCTGCTGTATAAAATTAGCAGTGCCATAATCTGACATTTTGGCCCTCCATTGGTCACCCTGTCGCCATAGCAACACATTAGCACTGCTGACATCCCGGTGAATGATGGGTTCTGGTTTCTTCTGGTGAAGATAGTTCAGTGCGCAGGCTACATCCAAAGAAATGGTGCGTATTTCTGTTTCGGACAGTTGCCGCTGTTCTAACAGAGTCCGCAAACTTTTATCCATCAACTCGGTCACAAACAGAGGACTTCCCTCGTCAACTGTGGCGCCGATAAACTGTAGTAAGTGAGGATGGCGACACTTGGATGCAATATTCATTTCTCTCTCAAAAAGACGTGTGTTATGAGGGGAAAGAATCAACTCATGTATTTCTTTCACTGCTACAGTACAGCCACAATACATTCCCTCATTCACACTTCCCCATCCTCCCCTCCCAAGGCATTTTTCTGTGATTTGAATTTCGTCGCGGGGAATAACCCAGTCACGTGCTCCCTGGTTACGCAATTGATTTATTGTTTGCTGAGCTGTTGAAAGACTTAACTGTAGTTCAGAAACTTGTCCTCGGGAATTGGTCAACTGTTGTCCTATCTCGCTCAGTTGCCGCTGCAACTCCCTCAGCTGCCTCTGAGAATTTTGTTCACGTTGACGAAACTCCGTTAGCTGGCTTTGAGAGTACTGATCCCGTTCTTGAACAACTCTGAGCTGCCGTTGTAAATTCTGTTCGCGTTCCTGCATCTCCCGTAACTGTCTCTGGAAGTTTTCTTCACGTTGCTGAAAATCCCTCAACTGTCTTTCTAATTCTGAGGTTCTCCCTGGGGAGTTTGCTTCCCGTAGATCTTGCATTTTTTCTGAAAAAGATAATTTATGATCAAAAACAAAACAAGGCAATCAAAATCACGCAAGTAAAATGGGCGAAATGATTAAGTGTCACCTAAAAAAGAAAAATTACAAATTTTGACTTTACAGATAATTTTCAATGCACTGCATTTCTCTCTTGAAACTGAGCGGCAAATGAGCATAAACGAGATACTGATGAAGAGGATGAAATTCAAAATTCCTTTTCGCCCCAGTTGTCACTTAATACTGCTTGTTTGTAAACTCACCGGATACATCAGTCGATTTGATATCAAAACGTTTCGACAAGATACAGTCCGAAATTAAATTACGCAGAAATTTTTAAGATATTTAGGGACTATACAAATTTAAAGCAGACGGATAGAACGTGTTGGGCGATCCAAACTCATTCAAACGAACTTAACTGAGCCAGACATCGAACTGTTCAAGACAACTTAACTCTAGTCTCTAAGTTTGGTTCGTCACATGAAAAGTTCGACGTTTAGCCCAGACCTAAAGTAAACACAAACAAGACGCTACGGAGCGTACACTTCGACGTCGTGGTTGTGGAACTAATTAATTGTAAATGCGGAGGAATAGTAAGAAATCAAATACGGTAAGAGTAAGGTGTTAATTTGTGAAATTATGGGATTTGTCAGGATATTCTGAAAAGAGCAACATCCAAGAGGCCTACTTGCCAAAAACTAGCATTTCGGGACAAATTGTCTCCGAGATGTTAGCCCAGTTATGCTCTGATGACTCCATACAAATCCTTCTAAAAAAACAATTCTCTATTTTTCTTAGTCACATCAGGCTTGAAAAACAGCATAGCAGTCTCATGTACTGATTAAAGATATGTAAGGCATGGGTAAGGAGTCAATTACGTTGAGCATGGAATTGGCTAAAACTCAAAGTCACGAGTTCGACTGTTTTGAGGATAGTTATTCACTGACTATCAGCACGCAGGGATGTCGGATTAACACAAGGAAGTTTAACACCAAAGGAACATAGCCTTTACAGAGCTTTAAAACACAGCATCCACCAACACAAACTTGACTTGAACTTTGAGTAAAACTAAACAGCCTCTACCAATAATAACAAACTCTTACTTGAACTTCAGACATCTTACGACTTCCGCGAACTTGTAAACACAATACCTGAAAATCGACCTTCGTCACACTTGACTAAACACAGAAGTCCAGCTCGTGGGAAAAAACTTAGTTCTTCAAAAGAACTCGCTTGGAACTTGTATACCGTTTGACATAAGGTTCTAGAAAATACTAAACAGCAGGCGAGTAGTAGTAGCTTTTCGACATACGGTATTTTATGATTTCAGTAACTGATGCAAATCTGCTGACTCATGCTGAAATGTAAACATGTCCTAATTAATTATTCATGGCTAATCCAAAAACGTAGAGAACGTTCGAGAAAGTCACGCAACGCATGAAAGCAATTTTACTACGTAACACTCAAAAAAGAAAAAATGTCTTTTTGCAGCATTTTGTAACTTTAAATCATAGTTAATTAAATTCATCATAAAACAGTTCGAAAGGAGGGCTCACTCGTGAAATGTTTTTCAACACTCGAAGAGAAATTTCGTGTCTCTGCGCGGCCACGAAATATCCTCTATTTATTCCTCGAATAATTAAAGACTAAACTCGAAGTGATCTCAAGATATCACGAAGTAGTCCGGTCTCATTTCGTGAAATAGTTGAAACAAGCCGAAAAGTCACGAACTTGCACGCCCAATCTTGTCCCGAAACTAGCGCATCATTTCATAACTATTTTTCATATCCCAAACTACCTTGGGTCGCAGTAGTGCAATCGGCTAATCCCTCAACTTAGAGTCTCCTCTGATCTGACGGGTCACACAGGTGAGTCGGTTCAAACCCCGGGAAAGCCAAAATAATAATTCTTTCTTCCTCGAAAAAGTTAAAGAATGAATCAAAGAAATCGAAGTGATCTCGAGATATCTCGAATTAATTCGGCTCTCACTTCGTCAAATAGCCGAATAAAACCGAAAACCTACAGACTTTGCATGCCCAATCTTGTCAAAAAATTGTAACTTTGATACATTCCTGAGCGTCGCGAAACCTTTACTTCGCGCTCCGCCGAAGTAAAAAACAATGTTGGACTGGTCGTTATAGTCGGCGGGGAGGGGGGGGGGGGGGGGGGGGGGGGGGGGTGGGAAGAAACGAAGTTTATGGCGCAAAATGTAACCTTAACGAGAAATGTAACAACAAGTAAAGCAATATGTAAAATAAAATCGTTATGTAACAACTTTAACTTAAAATGCAATAACTTTCTGACGCGAACTGTAACAAGTTTTGAACTCAAATTGTAAAAACTAAAGGGATATGTGACAATGTAAAAAGAAGCAACTACATTCTTTAACTACTTAAAAAAAGAAGTCTCGTAAAACATATAAGCTTTCTCACAAGTCAAGTTGCCAATTGTGATTTTTTTACCCGAAATATACCATTTACACACTTCATCCGCTAATAAGAATCACCACCGAAAAGTGTCTAAGAAAAAACGTGTTACAGAATTATGTCCTTTTAACACTGATTGAAAAAACGACTTGTAAATCTATATCCTATCCTGCGTTGAAGCAGAACATTTCTCTCAAACCCTACACCGCTTACAAATGATAAGAAAGGACTGAGAACGAGTCAGGATCACAGGAGAAATTTTAACGGCAGAAAAACCAGCGTTCGAGAAGGGAAGAATGAGGCGAGGAAAAACATCGCTTCAGTTGATATCTGAATTACAGACTAATGGTTTACTCTAAGCTTTCATTTAGTCTTAAATATAATCTGATTTGTTGACTCCTAGATTTGGGGCCAGGCCGATATCGTGTCCTACAAGCGTTGCTGCTTTCTAGTAGATAATTGTGTTCTAGTAGTCTACCCCTCTTGCGGGTTCACCAAATTCATAAGCGTTAATGTTTAGGAAATTAAGTCTGGATATTTTACTCATCAATTCAATTTTAAATACCGTAAAATTCCGAAAATAAGCCCCGGGGCTTATATTTTTCAAAGGCCCTTTTTGAGGGGCTTATTTTTGGAGGGGCTTATATTCAGAGGGGCTTATCTACGGAGGGAAATTGGCGTTTCAAAATCGATTGGGCTAGCCTTATAGTTGGAAGTAAAATTACCGTTTTTGCTTTGTTTCAATTTGTATTTGAGGTCAATTTTCCAAGTACAAGCCCCCGGGCGGCTTATATTTGGACGGGCGATTTAACGGAGGGTTTTTTGCGTTACCGGTTTGGGGGGCTTATATTTGGAGGGGCTTATACATGGAGGGGCTTATTTTCGGAATTTTACGGTATTTAAGCCCAGCTATCCTTACAATGTACGGGTTTAACCGTATGCTTCTCAACTAACTACTCTCGTCATAAGCTTCTTGAGCTACCTGTTTCTAAACCTACTTACATACAGTAAGTTTAACCTTATTTCTCTTTTTACTAAAAACCATATGTCACACTCTTACCTTTGATAGTGGCTGGCATCTTGTCAATAAAAAGCTGAAGCTTATTTGGATCAGCATCTTTTAGTCGAACAGTGTGACTTTCACCAAATCGTTCTAGTCCACTAATTATAACTATATCCTTGGTGACCTTCATTGTAGTTTGAGGAATAATTACAAACTGAAACGGTAAGGAAAGATAATGATATAATTTAAGTTACATTGGCTATAGTGGAAGTAGTTTCTGTAAAATAACAACTGAACACAACTATTCACAGCCCATTTCACTGAGATCTCAGTTGCTACAAGATAAACACTTATGCCCTCAGTTACAGCAAAATGAGTTCAAAATGTTCTGAACAAAATCATTTGTCAAGACCGCTCATATTTATATTTTCGCTCTTTTTTTTCACCATAACTTATCTTTCTTTTTCTAGATTGGTAAATTTAAGGTCCTCAATAGGTCTTATCACGGTTTTCGAGGTCATCTTGACGAGTAGGCAACCGCGTGAGAAAGTACAGTGTTTGTGTAAGAATCTAATGTCGAATAATGTCCGTAAAACGGCTGTTCTCAAAAAAATATGAACTGTAAACTAAAGCTACACAGCAAAGGATTTTACTATCAAATTTTGGGGGCCGTTAATTTGCTTAAATTTCTCCAGACGCTTGCTTCAGATTTTCCACATATTTGTCTACATTTTTTTCCCGGGAAACGTTTACAGGTAAATGTATAGAAAATTTTAAAAAGTGGTTCTAACGCATATAGCTGCATGTAACGACCTCAAATTTTTTCAGAAGAATCGTTAGGAGTGAAAATTTAGTTTACAATTCATATTTTTTTCAGAACAGCCGTTTTACGGAAATTTTTGGACATTAGATTCTCATACAAACACTGTAATTTCTCACGCAGTTGCCTACTCGTCAAAACCGTCATAAGGCCTATTTAATGTACGGACCAACGAAAAAAACAAAAAGATCCATCCTTTCCCTTATCATCTTTTTTGACCCATAAGGTACCAAACTGTGGTTTAGTTGTAATCTTTCAGTATTAAAATTAACCACGATCCTTGTTCGGCCCATAATTTATGGCCCGCCGCTTTATACCCATTTCTCTGCAATACTTTTCCAAGCTCTAGGTTTAGAATCTCACATTTTTTACCTTTTGGGAGTTGGCGAGTCTGTAAAAGACCGCTAAACGCCCTACACAGTGTATCATTTCGCACTAGTATGGCACATCTTGTCAAAGGGACAGTTTAATAGAGGTAAAGACAATAACAAATTACTCATTGGGACCTCGAAACAGGTGACCACGGCTGCTTAATAGAGGTAACTGCTAAATACAGATCAGTTTTTAAAAATTGGTGACCGCTTATAGAGGTCCGCTTAATAGAGGTTTGACTGGTTTGACTATAGAGGCAGTTACAGTAAACACCCGCTAATAAGAAGCTGTGGTTAAGAACCTCCTGGCAGAAATCTGCACTTTAATACCTAAGAATACAAGAACCTGTTTAGGCAAGCTAAATCAAGCAGGTTCTTATATGTGGTTAATTTTTACGGTTAAATTATGATAAACAATTTAACAAAGGAGTCATGTAAGTTAAACTTTGAGTTGTAAATTTAAGTACAACAAAAACATACTGTACTAAAGAGTATGATATTCAGTAATTAGTTTTGTTAGGGTTATCATAATTGTGAATAAACAGAAAAGTTATTTATTTTTCTCATTATCAACAATCTGTTATGTCCTTCACAAAAATTACTTGTAAGAACCTAATTAAGAACCTACCTAGCCTAAATTGCAAATAAGTACCCCAAGAACAAGAACCTACTTCAAAAAAAGGGACCTTCTTATCAGCGAGCGCTTCCGGTACCATAAAATAACAACTGAAAACAACCATATTCACATCCCATTTACCCATAGCCTGCTTCGCTTCCTCCGAAAAACCGGACATACATATGCGTTTCGCAGGCTAATCATCATCAGCTACAGCAAAATTTGTGCAATATGTTTAGCTCAAAATCATTTGTCAAAACCGTAGCCTTGCAGCTCTTTAGAACCTCTAATTTGCTTCGATTGCTATATGTCGCAGCTCTTTTGTTTTAGGGCTAGGTTCCATTGTTACTTTGTTTGTTCATTGTTTTCCCAACCAATCCTTATGAGGTTGCCCAGCATACACTAGATCATGTGGTCCCTAGCTCGTCCCCAGACCTTTAGAAAGAGGGCAACACCGCATGTCCCTTAATTCCCTACCATGAGTCAGCCAGGCAACATCTTCTCTCCCCGACATAAGATGAAAGATTATAATTTGAACAAAGAAGGGTAATAAGTGGTAAAAAAATATAATAAGATGACACCGACTTGATAATACGTGAAGAATAACTTTATAACATAGGGTAAAATTACTCTCACTTGACAATAGCGGCCATTGTCGCATCATTTCAGGTTTCATGCAATACTATTTGGTGTGAATTTTAACTTGTACAGTGTACAAGAAATGGAGCATTAAAAAGTCTTAGTTATCAAAGATTATCATAATAATACCGATCAAGAAAGTCGACAGGTTCACAGTGCAAAGCACAGAAAGTTATTAAGTGAGCTTTGAAATCCAAAAACAAATTGAAGCAATTTCTGCCTGTCTGAGATAAAACAAATACAATCAAACCTCTATTCAGGGGACACCCTCGGGACCAAAGCAAGTGTCTCTTGAATAGAGGTTCCCCCTGATTAGAGGTTGGGCTGGGGTTTGTTAATAATTAACCGACAAAGACAGCATAAAAAAATCATCATTAGGGAATTTAAGATGCCACAACAGCGACGACAAAGAGGACGTCAAAAAGGCAATAGGTTGAAATGAATAGACAAAGCAACAACTCTGCACGTGCATCACGCTTTTTTGTACATGTTTTTTAGTCATCACTGCACGACCAGGACAAGAAAATGCCAATTCACACAAGTGCATTTCATTGATTTATGTGAGATAGTTCAGTTTGGGAAAGCCTCCGTTTTTGATTAGTGTGCACTTAAAGATATCAAGCCCTCTTTGTGGTCAGTCACTTTTTGAGTGCTGAGGTGTCTCTTGAAATAATGGAGGTTAAAATAAACCCAGGTTTCCAGACCCAGAAAAAATGTCCCTTTCCTCTGAATAGAGGTCACTCGTCCCTTTAATTGAGGTAATAAATACAAAGATTATGTGCACATTTTCCGGGACCAAATTTTGTGTCCCCTGAATGGAGGTGTCACAAAAAGAGGATGATCAACTATACTGTTTGTTCAATTAAACCAACTAGCTAGAAAAAAGGGACACTATAATACGGACTCTCTCTAACACAGACAATGGACACTAAATCTTGGCCCCACAGAGTAAATTCATATAAACTTAACCTCTTTATTACGGACACTGTAGTGATCAGGTGAATTGCGAATCCCGATCAGGTGAATTTGCAAAGAAGGGTAAATCCCGTCTAGTCTGGCTGATGAGCTATGCAAGGTGACTTCAAAAGGCCAGTCCCCGTATACCATACAATTAATTTGCAAAAGGTGTACAGAGGAACAACCAACTTTTTGAAGGCTTCGATCAATAACTACAGATAGCATGAAGACCTTTTCTATTACATTTTGTACAACTTAAATGCAGTTTAAAGACGAGTGTAAGCCTGGTTTTAGCTTTTTATACTGAACACTTAAAACTGTAAGTGGAGTCATAAAAGTGACGTCATCATAGTGACCTCTTTTAGACAGACACCTCTCTAGTATGGACACTTTGCTCTGTCCGTTCGGTGTCCATATTAGAGAGGTTCGACTGTAATGGGGTGTAAATCATTTTCAAGGAACTTAACGTACTTTCTGACATTTAAAGCAACTGAGTTGAAATAATATTGCAAAAAAAGTTTAAAAAATGTGAAGCATTCTTAATGCTACATGTATACTAATTTTATCACAAAAACATATTAAAAACAAGGGTTATTTGTTGCCTGACTCACAACTTGCAGTTAACTGTGATATGAGTAAACTGTAATGTGTAGTTCCAGAAAACATCCATAATACCCCTCCCCCCACCCCTATGGAGGGCACTTTTACTTTAGCCCACACACACCCCTATAATTTCCATTCCTGGGGGTGCTTGTCATACACCCCACACCACAGAATTTTTTGTTATCTTACTTGGTTGGTACCCCCCTGAGGTGAATATTTTCATCAAAAATGCTGTAGTTGCACTATACTTTTATGTGGAAGATAATTGTATGTTTTCTGCGATAAAGAGAGGAAAAATCTTTTTATTCATCTTAAAACACTGTCTAATGTTCTCAGTTTTGCCTTGCATGTAAAGGCCTTTCTTTGTTAATTATTAACAGTGAGTAGAGGTGTATGTCACTGACAACCAAGGAGGCATAATGCCTTATGAGTCACATGGTAAACTGGACAAAACTGTTCTGGATTGACATTTTATTATACCAAAAAAAAAACAAGCCATAAGGACCCTTAATGATATTTTTATCTTTTAAACAATATTAAATTCCACACAATGGAATAATATTTTCATGTTCATCACACAAGGAGGAATTTCATTGCGGCATATCAAAACTTGGTAACAAAATCACCAAGGTACACAAAATCACGTAATTTTTAAGAAAAACAAATCACGTTTTGCGATGAAAAAGAAGTGTTGCCCTGTTAGAATATCGTCTCCAAATAAATCTTGAAGCAAAGATAACTTGGATCGAGCCACTTATGTGCAGCAGTATTGTTATCCTTTGATACATCGAAGGATTTAGGAGTCAGTCAAAGATTCAAGCTGTGATACATATATATGCTACCACTGAAGGACCACGAGGCAAATCCACAGAGTTGTTTGAATCAAGCTGTTGTGCAACACAACGTGAGAGTAAATGGCAAGCTCCTGAGAGAAGAGCCAAGAAATATGGTCCAGCAACTATTAGAGAGGCCACATAGCAGTGGAACGGAGCGTGTCAGCAACCAGCAACAGGCTGCCATCTTCAAAACAGATGCAAGACCAATCTAGTGGCAAGATGAGTTTTAAGACGATGAAAGTCTGAAGAAAGTACCATATTTCAGTGGTCAAATAAGTTGTAGACTGTCCTTACATTTTCTTTGTGTTTTCCTGTTGAATGCTTTTCAAAACATCCCCAAAAACGTTG